AGGTGGGAATGGGTACCCGGCTATAGACAGCGAAAGATCTTGTCAGTTTGTTAGTGTTTGAGCGCTTAATCGGCTGCTCGCACTGTATGCTTCCCGGGAAGCTGAGAATGTTTCGGAGTGTTCTATGGTCTGCTGGGGTAGTAATATAGTGTAAAAGCGCATAGAGCCTGCTGCTGAGCGGGGATATGCGCTATACGAATGCTATCTATCTATCTATTATTATTATTATTATTATTATTATTATTATTATTATTATTATTATTATTATTATTATTATTATTATTATTACCAGTTAATCAATCATCCTGTATGACTCACATCCATCCATTCATCTGTGTAATCATCCCAAATAGTCTTCAAAGTCCCCAACCCCAATTAATTCACCTCTAGTGAACAAACGTAAGGAGGTATACCTATCTATACTGCCCATTTATCCGAATCCATCCAAAATCCACCCCTCTCTTATCCAAGTTCATCCGGTTACATTTCTTTCCCTGTATCCATATTTCCATCAGAACTTGCTTCCACGATTACAAAGAACTACAAGTGTATTTGTCACTGCCACCACCCTATTAGAACGAGTTCTTACAATAAACGGCCAATTCTCATCTGGAACAGATTCGGTAAAAGATATGACTGAAAAGAACGTACAAGAGTAAGGCCAATACGAACCCTTTCTAACTTCTTTTAACAGATACATACGACTTTCTAATATAGAGAAACAATTTATCACATTTCCCCCTACTGTTTTAAAAATTTCTTTTCAACAGTATTGTCTGGTATGGTGCACTATGGTATCAGTTAAATGTCGCCTTCAATACAGGAAGAGATGAGGCCTTCAAACATAGCTTTCATCCGAGTCAACACCGGATCGAGAGGGTGGCGAGCTTTAAAATATCCCCTAAATAATCAACCCATGCTCAAGAACACCACGTAAGTGATCCACAATATTTTTTAAAAATTTATTTACTTATTTATTTATTTATTTATTTCTTTATTTCTTTATGTACGTATGTATTTATTCATTTATTTTATTATTCATTCATTGGGGGGGGGGGGGGGGCGAGAAACATGAAGTTACAATACAGATGGCACCAGTGTTTGCAGAAAGAGGGATTTCTGCGTCAAAACAGACGAGAATCGGTCCTTAAAAAATACATTCCAAATTCCAAACAAAACACGCACCTCCTTGCTGATCACGGGAGGGAAGCCGTAGCTGTCGTGGCTGCGGCCCACTCGCACACGGGTGGACACGATCATGTCGCCGGAGGGGTCAAGGTCTCCGAACTGGAGCTTGTCGGTGTCTCCGAAGTCAGGGTTGGGGTGGTTCAGAGCGTCGACCTTGTGGTAGTCCTTGATGACGGCGTCCAACAGAGGAGCGAAGGTCGTGTAGGCTTCGGGGTCTGAGGCGTAGACGCCCACACCGCTGTCTGTGTTCTCGCATCCTGGGGGAAAGCAAAGACAATAAAATTATATTATAGCTGACTTCGGACCTCCATCGACACACTTAAAATCATTTAGGAGGCGGGATTCGACCTTGCCTATCAGGGTCAACCCGGGTAGAGAGGGATGCAACATCTCAGTAGAAAGACTGAGACACTCAATAATCTCACCACTGCTGTGTGCAACGGTGAAGCGCCATACTTCTACATCACAAGAGCTGATCTCAAGCAGAGAGGGAGAAATAGACAGAGAGAGAGATAGATAGATAGAGAGAGAGACAGACAGATAGATAGATAGATAGAGAGAGAGAGAGAGAGAGAGAGAGAGAGAGAGAGAGAGAGAGAGAGAGAGAGAGAGAGAGAGAGACGGTTTGTTAGAGTCAGGGACAAAGCACATTGGGCTGGGGTTACAGAGCAATCACTTAGCTGTTTGTTTGTTTGTTTGTTTGTTTGTTTGAGTAAACGGAAACATAGGGCCAACTGGCGCATGAAAAAGCAAGCCAGACTGTCACCTGGGCAGCGTGGAATGCAGCCTATCAGCAGACAGGAGATACTTGATTCGAAAATAATTTTCCTTCATGGGAATCAACCTCACGTCGTATATTTTTAACGACAAAGAGCCCATCTCTTACCCCACATACATCAAACCCATATTCTCAGTAGCCTTGTGTAGGGTGATATAATTTTATCATGTCGAGAAAAAGGGAGTTAAAACCTCAAGACCTAGTCAGCTATTTCAACGGAGAGCTGGCAAGTAGGGAGGAGAAAAACAAAGAACGTCTTCTCGTTCTTCACCGGGGAAAGGCCTGGGAAACGTGAAGTGAGAGACAGGATCGATATAACCCGTGTCACCAATCGAAAGAGGCGTCAAGCATTTGTCAGGGGGGGAGGGGGGGGGGGGGGGGGAGAAGAGTAGCACGGAGAGGAGGAAGCACGAAGTAATTATTAACTGTGTCTGTAGGGAGAACAATATTACTACTAGATTCTTACACCAATTTCAAAAACCCAACAAAGCCCACAGATCAAATGCCGACATATAGACTCCGATTGTACAGACAGCGATAAGACAGCGAGTGTGCGTGTGACTTCCGGTAGGCTTGCTTGTTTGCCTCTGTGTGCTGTGTGTGTGTGTGTGTGTGTGTGTGTGTGTGTGTGTGTGTGTGTGTGTTTGTGTGTGTGTGTTTTGTGAGTGTGTGTTTGAGTGAGTGTATGTGCGTGCATATGTGTGCGTATGTATATGTGTATGTGTGTACGTGTGTGTGTACGTGTGTGTGTGTGTGCGTGCGTGTGTGTGTGTGTGTGTGTGTGTGTGTGTGAGTGTGCTGGCGTGCGAGGGCGTGTGTGTGTGTGTGTGTGTGTGTGTGTGTGTGTGTGTGTGTGTGTATATGTGTGTGTGTGTGTGTGTGTGTGTGTGTGTGTGCCCCCGAAACAGATGGGGAGGGATTGGAGGAAAGAAAAAAGACAGAGTGAGAGAGGGGGACAGAGAGGGTGCGGTCATGAGAGCGCACAAAAATACCAAGATGGCCGACATCATCTCGATCCACAGCTTCGAGCCTGAAGTCAGGTGAGATGAGAAAGGGAGGAAATGAGGTCACCTCGACGACCCCAAACAGCAGGTAAAGTGTACAGTGTTACTTGTTCTATGGCCTCGCATACACTGACATCCTCTAGCCATAGCAACATACATACACGTACGCAAACCCCACA